CCACAAGAGGCCAACTTGGACAGGGAAATGTGGAAAGTGTTTGTTGGTGGTCTATACCCTGGTCCAGGGTGAGAAACTCAGAAAGACATCTTTGTTGTTATTGTTGTTGCTGCTGCTGTTGTTGTTGTTGATGATGAGAATGAGGATGATGATGATGATGAAGCGAAGACCGGATATACATTGCCACAGCAAAGATTTATAGCACTCCATGTAATCTTTATGCCTTATGCTCCCATTGATTTCCTCCTAGTCATACCTCTACTTATAGTACACACAAAGGTACGTTCCGGGCAATAACACTTTCAAGTTATTGCAATATATTCGTAGGCACCGTTTTTAACCCTATTCGTAAGCCCTGGGGTCATTTTGTATCCCCGGGGTTGTATTCTTTACATTTTAGAATACTTCTTTTTCTAGTACGAAGATCTCTTTGAAACTTTCAGTATTTCTCAAAAATTCATTTTGACAGACTGCTATGCAAAGTGTACGGATCGGATTAATGAGAAAATTTCCTCTAGGAAAGTGATGGCACAAAGTTCCCCACGTCGTATGGATACGATAGTAAAACACGAAGTACGGATAGGGTTAACTGTTCTAAGCGCAGAAAGCAATCTTTTTACAGGGTAGAGGGAAAACATCCATGAGACAGACAGACAGAAAGACAGAGCTATTTAATGTCCGTTCTCTTCTTAGTCTGAGGCTACCTTCTGGGTTACTATTACTAATCTACAAAATTCTCCTTTCCACCAGACTTTCTCAGTGGTTGGTTGGAGGGTGCTCTGGTGTAGTTTGTTCCTGTCAAACACTCGTCCTTATCTATCCTCTCTTTCTCTACATGTTACTCCCAGGTAACACCTTTAATCTTCAGAATTTATAACATAACCTATTTGTGTTGAAAGTGTCGTAAAACTTTCTAAAAAATAAACCGAAGACGCTTTGTTCACCTACAGCTTGTACTTGTTGTAACTGATGTGGAATTTAAAAAATTGTTTTTAGTAGAGGGTTTTACGGCGCTCGCAACTGCATAAGGTCATATGAGCGCCAAGGGGTGGGTGTCAACAGAGAAGTCCTTATAGAGAATCAGACTTACTCTACTCACCTCTTTAGCTTCAACAGCACAAGGTCTGCTTCGACTAGTATCAAGGCACCCCGGAAATAGCGGGTCACAAGAGTGGCTAACATACAAAAGAAGTAGAGGAAAATGACAATAGTAAGGATTGGGAAAGAAAAAGCAGCAGTTCCCTGTTGCAGATCAGGCACAGTTATGAGCGTGACATGATGTATCAGCCCATTTACAATTCTACGGTGCTAGAACGAGAAATGCCCCCCCCCCCCCTTTGGGGATGGCCTAAAGACATTACAGTCAGTGGCACTGCCCCGGGGGGTTGATGTGGAATAAATCACACAATGTGGATTTCCTTCCAAAATGTCACGTTTTCTTCTGCTTATTCGTTGACAATTTTTGTGTGTTTATTTTTGGTTTTTATATAATTTTTGTTTTAATAAACACAGTTTTCTAGCGTGCTGAAAATGCGCAAACATCGACTGTCAGATTCTAAACTAATGGCACTGAGAACAACAACAAAAACAACAACAACAGCGACAACAACAACAACAACAATAACGTCCACTTTACAACAAATCAATCGTTTAATCAACAGAAACCATCAACAGGAACTGAAACAATCCATCACCCAAACATCGTAATTCAAAACAGGGTTTTTTTTAACTACTCTCAACTCTGAAATTCAAATTTTCTCTCGAGAACATTGGCACCAATCTAGGATCAAATAATAATAGATCACAGATAGATAGCATGGTATAGTGCAAATTCTCGCTCAACAGCAAGCTCTATGAACTTTACAATCTATATAATGATGCAAGAACAAATTCCAGGTGACATGCAAAACTGAATTCATTTATATGTGTATCAACTCCTACATCAGCCAGATGCCGCATCAGAGAAAACTAACGCAAAGAATAACACAGAAGGCCGGCTTGCAATAACTGACAACTTTTAAGCTGGACAAAACGAAAAGTCCCATCTATTGTAATTGTAAGTACAGGTGAGGCCCCTTATATTTATAGTATACTTATACCCCAACACTGATAATTTAAAAGAAAAAAAAACCCTTGCTAAACAAAGACAATCTGACGGGTCCCGCGGATTTCAGTTTCAGCAAAGACGGGCCGTGGGGGAACAAACTATTCAGAAATAATTGACAATACCACGCAATTGGAGTGGAAGTGAAGTTATGAGGAGGGGGGGGGGGGTGATACAGTTGCCAATAGCGCTACTCACCAAGATTTCTTTTAATATTTTTCTACCAAAAGTCTTCAGTACCGTACGATGAAGGAAAAGGAGAGAGGAGAATCACAAATGTTGACAAGAATGACTCGTGTCAAGAGACATTAAGTAACGGTCTATTTGGTTTTACTGCTCAGCTACAGTTAAGTACAAATATCACGTGCAAAAATAAATATTTAGATGTACAATGTCGCCTTGATGTAAATATTCTAGATCTATATGATGTGTAAAGAATAAACTTGATTGTAAACATAGAATCTGCTCTGACAACGTAACTTACCAGTTTAACCCCTCCGAGCCATGCACTAGCCACGTATGCAGCGTACAAATGTAAAGCTACCGTACTTAAAGTTGAAATACATTCTGCATCATCTGCCTCTGAGACATTAAAGATACAGTTACATTACATGTTACATCATGTACGGCCACTCAAAGCACACATAGGAGACGTGAGCCTTACGTCGCTGAAGCAGTGAAGGAGTTCAGTAAATACTAATTCTATTCTAAAAATATCAATACAGTTCAAGTTTCCCATCACTGTATAAACAACATAGATGTACACCCACATTGATTCCGACAACAAAGCACAACGCATCATCAAGTTGCTCAAGATGTGGAGGTTTGTGTAATTTTATATCGTACGAGAGCCAGGTACGTCAATATACAACATTGGAGGGGTTAATAAGTCAGTAAGTCAGTATGCGGGTTTAACGCTCCTTCCAACACTGTTAAGTCATTCAAGAGGCGAGACCTCAAAGTTTTTAACGTCCGTCTCCAATGTCCAATATGTTCAACAGGACAGAGTCAGATGAAGTGAGAGCCTTGACAACTCCACAAAACGACCAACGTTCAAGAACACAACGTCTGGGGTACGAACCAGAGTCATCTGCTTCATAGTTCAGCATGATACCCACTAAGCTAACAGAGCGCCCGTGAAAAGGCACAAAGTACAAACCAACATCCACCTCAAATATACAAGAGAACAGTGGACCCCACCAAAAAACAAACAAAAACAAAACAAAACAAAACAACCTCTACGAACAGTCGACTGCTACAGCAGACAGAAAATCTGTCAATGTTCTGGTGATGTCCCCGCATGTCGTACAAAGCACAAGCTATCTTCATGTACACCTGACATAGTCACATACCATCATGTACATGAGATTCAGAACTCAAACAATAAAACTGAAATTAATTAATTTTAATTAAAGTGAACACTTTTTTTTCAGGATTCAATATTATATACTGTACAATGTATAGGAATATTTTATTTAACTTGTAAGCCAAAATATTAAGTTGCTCTTTCTATATTTGGTATTAGGTTAATAAAGGTTTGGAAGAAAAATATATTCTAAGATATACTGGTATTCTAATATATGCTAAGAAATTTGTTCCTTTGATTTATCCGAAACCATACATAATAAATTACATGGGAAAAAGCTTAAAATTAAAAAAAATTAACATATATTTTAAAGAGAAGAATGTTGTCACATTTAGATCGAACCTCAATAGCAAAGGCGATACAGTGTGCTGCAAATGCAAAAACAGATTCATACAAGATGAGACAAGCAAGAACAATAAAAAGTCCAGATGTAGTAGGAGTTTCACGGCGCTAGTTCACATTATAAGCACCGAAATGTTACAAGAGAGTAACAAATGTAAAAAGAAAAGACGGAGAAAAAAGGACAATAGATGTTTGATAAGAAAGAAGGAGCAAACCCCACCAGAACACCCGCAGCCAACCCACACATGGATGTGTACGTAAGTAACTGCCAGTCATTGAGCTCAACTCAGTTTCTCTACGTTCGTCTTGTGTACGTCTTTTTACACCCCCATCCACACCATCCTATGTTCTTACAGTTTCCATAAAGCCCTGAACCAAAAAAAGACAAAAGAATATAAGAATGTGAGAAAGGCAACGCCCAGTCCACGATTTCCATCCCTATTTATAAAAGGCGTACGTGCGGTGGATTTCCATGTGGATGTCCAGTTCATACTTGTAGTTAAAAGTGGAATCACAAATTTTACATCTCTTCATGTGAGTTTTTTCATGTTTCCTCAGAGTCGTGGATCTGGAAAACGACTTTCCACACAACCTGCAAGCGTACGGCTTGTCGCCAGAGTGTATGAGCATGTGAGATTTGAGGTGTCCGTTCTTAAAGAAACGCTTCCCACAGTCCCCACACTCAAACAGCCTCTGCCTGTCGTCGTTCTCATCGGGCACAATCTGCGACTGAGAGATAGTGATGATCTTCCCCGGATCCACAGCCGCGCCGTTGGTTGGGGCCACGAGGAAGGACTCGGGGTTGGAGTCTGGCTCAGAGATGATCTGAAAAGTTGATCCCCCGGGGGTGGTGCTGGTGTACATCTGAGGGTCGGCCGCCTCCCCTCCCTCAGAGGCCGGGATCTGGATGAAGGTCAACGTCTGGTTCTCCTCGCTCATGGCCGTCTGTGTGTGGAAGGCGGGCGTAAAGTGGGACAAGCCGGTAGAAAAAGCCGAGGGGATGGAAACAAGCTTCCCCCGGTCGGCGACTGCTGAGTGACCGGCAAACGGTCTCTCGTCGTCTTCCTCGTACTCGGCAAAGTCGTCGTTGTCACAGTCAGAGTAGTACATGTCCGAGCGATGAGTGACAACGTGTTTGGCCAGGTCATACTTGTCCTCGAAGAACTTGTCGCAGTGCGAGCAGATGTGAGTCTTCATGTGGCGGGTCAGAACCGTCCTCCGAACAAAGTTCTTGCAGCACAGAGTACACCGGTTTATGTTGTGTTGGGAGTCCACGAAAGAGAATTTCTTGAAGAATTCTCTGTTGACCTTAGAGACCAGAGGTGACGCAGGACCTTTCTTTTTCTCCCCACAGACGTCCACAGTGGGGGCGGAGGATTCCTTGCGGTGCCTGTACTTGTGTTCCAGCAGGTCGGCCTTGTCCTCAAAGAATTGGTTACAGAAGGGACACACGTGTGTCTTGAAGTGTCTCGTCAGCGTGGTGGGCCGGGCGTATTTTCTTTTACATATGGTACAGGCGAAGATGCTGCTGGAGGTATCAATACAGGAGTACCTCTCAAAGGTTTTTTTGTTCGCTTTGATAATTTCATCATGTGACAGAGCCTGAAGCACCGTGGAGTATGTTTTGTGACTTTTACAGTCGAGCACATTTTCCATCTCGCTGAGAAAACCATCACTCTCCTCGTCGTCCCCGGTATCAGACGACTCCCAACTGAAGGATTCCTTTAGGCTTGGCTCTAAACAGTTGGCTTCGTCTTTCATTCTGACGATCAGCTGTTTTCTGTGCTCCTCCCTGTGACACCGTAGATCTTCCTTTTGAGGATAAAAATTGTTGCAACATTCACAAACGTGTCCGAGGAAATGTTGCTGTAGAAGAAGGCTGTCCTTGAACGTGCAGTGACACAGTTTGCAAACAAACGTGGTTTTGCCAGCATCTATCTCTGAGTGCAGCGTGAATTGGTCGTTGTGTTTGTCCAGTATCTGCTCCTGAGTGTAAATGATATAGTCCCCCACATGAGGCTGTTCTTCCCCGTCACTGACGCAAGGTGAATCAGGCGAGTCTGACTCGACAATGACCTTGATCGTGGCAAGCAGCTCATCATCTGAATCGTACTCCTCGGTGTTTGTATCTGGCCTCGTCAATTCCAATACAACACTGCCAAAAAGTTCGAGAAATGCATTATCGTTCAATAATTTGTGAGCATTGGTGTTGTCTGACTTCCCAGATTTCCTAGCCAGGTCAGTGTCCTCTTCGTTGTCACTCGAGCAGTCAGAATCAGAGAGCTTGCAGACAGCAGAGCCCGAGTGTACAAATTTCTTGTTCTTATTGTGAACTGGTATACTGCTCTCGTCGAGACACGCACCGCTGAACAGCATTGTGGGCGCGTGGTTCTGCATGTGAAACTGCAGGTCAGTAGCAGATTCAAACTTTTTGTAACAAATCTTGCATTTAAGATCATCATGGGGGACATGGTGCTTCTCCACGTGTTCCTTGAACTCGGACTGGTCAAAGAAGGGAGACTCACAAACATCACACTTGTACGGTTTTCCGTGGAGTTTCATGTGCATCTTTAGTTTGGACAAGGTAGGATAACGCTTCTCACAAATTGTGCAGCTGTAGCAGTGGTGAACTTTCTCGTGATTCTCCAGACTTTTCTTATTGATGTAGGCCTTGCTGCACATATGACACGACCATTTGGCCACTTTCGGGGGTCTGCCCCCAGGCTTGACAAAGGGAGATTCGTGTTGGCCCACTTCTTTCCATCCAAACTTCCCACAGGCAGATTTTCTGTCTGATTTGCCAAACGCCACCATTCGAATGGTTTTATGGGACTTCATATGTTCTTTTAAGAGAAAATGATTGAAAAATGACCGTGAGCATATTTTACACAGTAGCGAGTCGTGTTTGTCGTGACGTTTCATGTGAATCTTCAACAAGGTAGAAGAGAGGCAACGTCTCCGGCACAGCTTGCACTTGAACTTCAGAGAGTGAACTTTCTCATGCTTCCTTAAGGCAGCCTTGGAGGAGAAAACCCTCTCACATTTCTCACAAGGAACACCTTCAAGTTTGACTTCAGACTGACCCGTCAACGACAATTTCGCTGTGTTTGTTCCTTTCCGGGGTTCTGTCCCAGCACGTCCTACCTTGGGTACCTTGTCCAGGGCCATCACTGCTTTCTTATGGGTTTGTGTCGTCTGGTGCTTCTTCAGGATGCTTTCTCTGGTGTAGTTTGTGTTACAAACATCGCAATGATACGGCTTTTCTTTGGTGTGCGTCTGAATGTGGGTCTTGAGATCGCCCTTACTTTTGCATCGAACCTTACAGTAAGGACAAGGGAATCTGTCTGTGTGTGTAATAAAGTGTTGCTTCAAGGTCTGCTTCCTGTGAAACATTTTACAACACTCCTCACACTGATACATTGTCGCACTACCATCTCTCGATGCATTTGTTGGGCTGCCAGGCGTGGAGGAAGGAGATTTACCCCTCTGGCGTTTTCTCCCTTTCGTCTTGGAAGAAGCAACAGTTTTCTCCCCGGTGGTGGCAGAGCGTGTCTTGTACCTACGTGGCTGGAACGCCGGAGACGAGTGTTCTACCGGGTAGTCTTTGCCCACACAGGTGTCTGTCTCGCCGTACAGCATGGTGTCCCCGTCACTGTGAATCGGCGCTTCTATGAGCAGAGTCTCCGACTTTGGGCTTGAGGGCGCAGACGGCAGCTGACGGCTTTGTACTGGACTCTCCGCCACCGGCAAATTGTTGGTGGAGATGAGCTTGAGGCTGTTGGCGAGTGTGGCGCCCAGGCTACCCTCACCAACAAGGGAGCTCTCAGACACGGACCGTGTTACTGTCGGGGAAGATGGATCTTCTTTAGAAACACACGGTTCAGTCTGTGTGTTGTGGGTCGGCAGTTTGTAGCGTGACTCACACGAGTCACCCTTAAATGAATCCTCAAAGTCTATTGTCGTACTGGGAGTTTCATTCTTGGACAGAGAAGAATGTTGAGAGAGTGAACGAGACGTACACTGAGACATTTGACCCTTGGACCCCTGGCCAGCCTTCTGACCCCCCTCACGGTCAAGCGACGTATAACAGAGAGGAAGTCCCCCCAGGTCACCATCCCCTCTTTCGGCGGTTTTGGCCGCCAAACTCGAGACTGGAAATTGAATACTGTCAGGGCTATTCCTTCCTTTCTCATTCTTGCCTGAATTCTGAATATCTCTGTGACTCTCTTCCATTGCTCCTTCCCCAAAACTATTGATTGGTTTTAGGCTCATGTCTACTAAACGGTTCATGAAACATTACCAAACATTACCTCAACCCTCTAACACAAAGGGGACTCTGCTTACCGAACCATTTCTATAAGAACAACATGACGGGCAACAGAGTCAAAAATGTGTCAAAAGCGTGCATGAAGGTATCAAACTACAACATTTACAAGCACACGATGAAAAACCCCCCAAAACAAGCAAACAATAGCAAGAATTATCAATGGGTTTCAACTTTACGGGCAACCTTTAGTTTCAGTTCAATTCATATAAGAATAATATCTGCTGCATCTGTTCCAAGTCACCATTCTACACCCTGGAATGGACCTGCAAGAGAGGAATAGAACACCTGGAAAACACTGAAAACATCCGTAGCAAGCAGTTATCCTAAAGTGCAGGCCTAGACAACTGACTTAAAAAGTACATAAACCTCTCTTTTATGAGGCTCTTCAATTTGTATTATCTATTTCTTTTTTAAAATAACGTTATAATTACAGTTCCAACTGGCAAATATCCCCCCCCCCCCATAAGACCCATTTTAACAGTACAAAAGATGACAGTTCCATGAAACGTCACATAATTTAGCGAGAACGTCATCCAAAACATCGCAAAATACATTCCTAGAGAATAGTCTAAACTCATAATGATTAACTTAAAAACTTGATAATCAAAGTGTTGAATCTGCTTCTCAAACAAAAGTTCTAATAAATCAGTATTATCACTATCAGTAATTAAAAAAAACTGAACAACAACAACACAACTGACACCATGATAAGTCTGTGCAAAGTTGTTGTTTACTAAGAACCTTGAAAGGTGAATATTTACAAATTACATTATTAGAACAGAAATAACGGATTGAATTATTTGTAACGGGTCAATATAGATAGAAACATTTTAAACAAGAAAGTCTATAAAAAAAAACTGTAAAAAGAAAACAATTCTCTTTCATTGTACTTGTTTGTTAGTTTGGTAAGAGTTTTACGGAGCTCGCAACTGCGGAAAGCTACATGAGTGCGCAGGACTCAAGTTGGTCATTTGCACATTAAACATTTTCAGTATTAATAGGAATTAATTTTGAATTTTGCCCGGATGGTGTCCTAAGCCTACTCTTATCGGTTTTAGGACCACCAATGAATCCTTAACGTGCGCAACCTAGACACGGGACATCCGATATTTTTTTCTCATTAAAATTATCTGCACCCTCTGACCTAGCACATGTTAGATAAAAACAAGAGGTAATCTACTCTGAGACTGGCTGCATCTCTTTTTTTCCGCTTTCAGGGGTAATTTTAAAAGACTTACAGCTTAATTTTGATTTGCATTAAAGGTGCAGGCTCATCAAAATAGTCGTGAGTAAATTTCACAGATCAGAAAATTCAATTTCAATGCATTTGACATTAACAAAGAGCGGTTCAGAAATCAAAAGGTCCAGAAAACCAAAAGAAATTCCAAACTGTAACACACATGTAAAAAATTATAACTTCATCCAAATATGGAAAATTGAGCAAAATAATACTTCACCACATCAAGGGGAAATTTTCTTAAATTATGCCCAACTCCAAATGCATGTGTGTGTATTGGTTATTGGCACATACTGTGTTCAGAGGTCTTTAGTGCTGTGTTCAGGTCCACGGACTCAAATGACACTTCAGCTGGGGACACTTGAACTAGTCAGAACAGAGGCTTTTCAAGATGTTCACCTGAATAATGGCCAGTTTCCACAGATTGATGACAATCGCAAGCTCACGGAGTCCTGTGTGGGAGAAAGAGAGATGATCATTGAACAGCTGCCGTGTGAGTGCCGTGCGCCATGTCTACTGTATCCCTCTGGCAGTATAGCGAGGCAAATGTAAATTAGTTTAGGTAGCCTTAGAACCGACATCTCAGGCTTTTAGTGGGTTGTGCTTTAAAGTTAAAGTCAAAGGGACTAATGATATGTTTATATAGAGGCGATCCTTGGCATGCAATTGCAAAGCTGGCGGTAAGCGAGTGAGTGAGAGAGTGAGTGAGTGAGTGAGTGAGTGAGTGAGTGAGTGAGTGTGTGTGTGTGTGTGTGTGTGTGTGTGTGCGTGTGTGAGTGTGCGTGTGTTTGTGGGTGTCGTTGTTGTTATTGGGTTGTTTTTAAGAAACTGCAACGAAAGACGTCACATTACCCATCGCCATTCATAATGCTTTAAATTTCAGAAAGGGAGTGGGAGCAAGTGAATAAAAAACCCATACATGTACATGTATTGAATCCAGCCTTCACACTTGTAGATCTACGATCTAATGACAAGAGAGAAACATTCTAGATCTAGATCTAGATATCTACAGTACTGTCTGGGCATCTCGGCCGTCTGGACAAGTCGGCCGCCTGCCTAAACAGTGTTGTACCAACTCGTTTTAAGGCCAATTTTGATTGGATATCTTGTTAATTTATAAACAAATGCAATCTTTGTTTAGTAATGCTAACAATTTCGCACGTTTTGTTTCCCTTTCACCCGTTTTCAATGAATTTTTGTGAATTTTTGCGACAGAACCAGGTAAATCGAAAGTAGGTCCACCATTTTTTCATCGCCTCCATAACTTGAACTATGCATACTCATAAGGTCATAGTCATGCGCAGATGCTATACAGTGGGTGCCGCATTCAACGAGGTCACATTCAACGAGAAGTCGGCTCCAACGAGGCAATCCTTAGTCCCCGATTTTTTCCTCTGTATCTCTTTGTAAATGTACGTCGGCTCCAACGAGGTCGCAATAACCACGTAAAAGCAATTAGTGGCCCCGAAAGCGAAGAATTTTTCTCCTTTCTCTCCATCTCACGTGAAGCACAAGGCCCATCATCGATTTCTAACATACTGTATTGCTAGATCTAGTGTACCTCCTAATATGGGCCCCAAAGCCAACAGGATGGGTGAGGGTTAGCCTTCGGTAGGAATTGGAGGGGGTGAAGGTGGGAGGGAACGCGATGAGGGCTATGTGAAACTGGATGAACTCTGGATGGGGAGCCTCTATAGGTCTAGGTCTAGGTCGAGACCCTCATTTTTTTTCCAATTTTCTTTCCTTCCCCTGATCAGAAAATCCAAGCTCCCGCCTTTACTTTATGTAGATCTAAGCCTAGATGTGAGAGGGTATGTTTCCAAACTGGAAGTTTTCCGGAAAAAAATATTTTAAAATGCAGAAACGACGGTCAGAACACAACTCAAATACGCGAACACTGATGCTGTTTGCGATTTTCGTCATCAGGGGGAAAAACTGTTTTAATTACTGGTATTGGTACATCGTGTAATATAATACCTTGTCTCCTTTCTTTACTTTAGCCTTATTCGCGTCCAACGAGAGGTCGGATCCAACGAGGACAACAAGCCGGTCCCGGCAACCTCGTTGAATGCGACACCCACAGTATTACAACGTCATATGACCTGGGACGGAAGGCAGCGGAGTTTTTGGTATATTCCGGGAACGAGGGGAAGCCTAGACGGTTAGAGAAGTTAGTATAAGAACGTATAGGGGGAAGTCCTTCTTGCAATAGGAGTGATGTGGTTGGGAGGGGAGGGGGGGGGCGAGTCAACCGGACTAAAAGTATTGAGAGTCCTGGTTGTTCGATTATTATGTTTTTAAAATATATTTTCAAGCTTAGCCTAAATCTCTACCCATTTTTTAAACATTGTTTATTTTTTATTATTTCATTTATTGTGTACATTAATGATTTTTGTGGCCAGTGAATTCGATTAAATGGATTATATACCAAATTTAGTGATAGTCATGGACTGTGTTGCTTGCACCAAGGTAAGGTTAAAAAATATTTTTAAGTCCGAGTTTATTTCTCCGAACGTTCGGGAAAATTAACTTGAACTCTATTTCTTCGAACGGTTTCAGTTCTCGGGATTAAATTGTTAATAATTTGCGAATGGAGTGGCAGCGCCGCGCGTGCGTGTGTGTGTTTGTGTGCGTGTGAGTGCGTGCGTGTGTGTGTGTGTGTGTGTGTGTATGTGTGTGTGTGTGTGTGTGTGTGTGTGTGTGTGTGTGTGTGTGTGTGTGTGTGCGTGTATAAGGTGTGAACGAGGCGTGGGGGCGTGTGGGGGGGGGGGGGAGGCGTGGGAATTTAGTTTTTGCTTTAGGGTTGACTAAATGCAAAATAGGTTACTGCCAAGGTAGAGCAGTCTTGTTTTCTCGCTGCACCTATCGTCCGGGAACGTTGCCCAAACCACAACTGAAGCTGAATATTATAGTCAGACATTTAAAAATCTCTAGATCTAGCTCTAGAAATTGAATTCGATGAAAAAAAAAAGATTCTTCCCAGTCCTCGCAGAATGGCAGAATGAAAGATGACGCCTAAATCTCGCAAATAACCAAACAATTTCGAGAACGGAAACCTTTCAGTACTTTCAGAGCAAGCAATCTGTTTCTTTTTATTAGATAGAAGGGTGTAAAATGGATTTCATAATTTGAAGGAGTGGTTTTGTGGGTGATTGGGGTGAGACTGAGATGAGCGAATCATCATCAATGCCTTTCACCCCTGGCAGGGTACCTATAGGCCACAAATAAGCTCCTCCCATTCATCTCTGTCCTGGGCCATCCTTTCAAGCTCGTTCCTAGTGAGCTTCATCTCATGCCCCTTTCCACACATCTCCACGTTCAAAGTGGCTTACCACTGCCTTGTGCTCCCTGTGGGTTCCACTGCAGTGACTGTCTTGTGATGTTTCCGTTGGGCTTTCTTAATTAAGGTGTGCCCCATCCATCGCAACTTTCTTAGTCCTATTTCTAATATAATATGCCTCTGTAGTTGTTACAGTTGCTGAGGTCTCCTTTCATTTGCAGCTTGATTAGGTGGCCTTCCTTCCAGTCGGATGGTATTTTCTTCTTTTGCCAAACCTTTTCAAATAGAGCATAGAGAATTTCCCCTAATGTATCTTAAGCTGCCTTAAGGGACTCTGGTGGTATGGTCGGGACCAGCTGCCTTGTGGGACTTCACTTCAGTGATGTTATAGCTGCCGCAATTCCTCTCTCGACGGTGGTTCCATAACTAAAGTGAGGTTATTTCTGGCTGGAAGAATTTCTGGTTGGTTTTCTGGAGTTGATCAAAGTGTTCTCTCCATCGGTTAAGTTGCCCCTTTGGGTTAAAGATAGTCTTTCTCTCCTTGTCTTTCACCGGTAGAGTGGGCTTGCTGAACCTACCTGAAAGAGTTTTTGTTGTCTGGCGTACAATCTGCAAGTGTCCGTCAGTTGCTGCTTTCTCTGCCTTTTCGGCCAGTCCATTGAGGTAGGCATTCTTGTCCTTCTTGATGGAATTTTTTACCTCCCAAACGCCCATTGTCATGGCAATCGCAAATCACGATTTTTGGGGGAGGATTGGGGGCTGTATGTGAAAGGACT